CTCTCTTTCTCTCTCTCTCTCTCTCTTCCTTTCTTTTGGTGATCTCGGCTCACTGCAACCTCCACCTCTGTGGTTCACGCAATTCGACCCTCCCAGCTAGCTGGAATTACAGGCACCCACCACTATTCCCGGCTAATTTTTGTATTTCTGGTAGAGACAGGGTTTTTTCATGTTGGCCAGCTGGTCTTGAATTCCTGACTTCAGGTGATCCGCCAGGCTCGGCTGCCAAAAATGCTGGGATTACAGGCGTAAGCCACCCGTCCAGCCCTCTCTGTTTCTTAAATCATGATCTGCTGTGTTCTAGCATTCTCCTGCTGCCCTTCCTCTCCACACTACTATTTTCTTTATGAGTATTGCCCTTAAAACGAAAACAAAAGCCTTTCTAGGTTTAATCCTGTCTTGGCATCTGCTTCTGGGAGGACTGGACTAACATCATCCTTTCCTACCTGGGTTTGACATCATTAGCTCAGATCAGCTATGATCCTGACAGAGTAGACATAGATCTCTGTTTATCTCTCTGAATCCAAGCCCTCGGCTAGAATCAATGTGCTGGGAGAGGACAGTTCTCCACCAATTTATAGCCCTTGTGTGGGAATGTTAGAATTGAATATTGAGATAATAACTTCTTTTTCCCAGAAAATTTCATTTCCTCCACTCTAAGCAGGAAGACAGGGCCTCCATGGCATTCAGAGGCTGCCTGAAAATATCCTCTCATCCTGTCCTTTGGGAAAGTTTTGACTCATGTTGCTAGGTGCCTCTGAGAGAGAGAGAAGCAATGTTTTAAGGAGGGAAGGGCAAGCAGAGGACATCTGAAGCTCAGGAGGAGAGACTGGTTCCTTTCTTCTCATATAACGGAGAATTGAGACCTTCCTTATCTTAGGGGTTATGGAGCTATAAGACTCAGAGCAGGGTGGGGATGCACTGTGGGCTGTAGCATAGGCACTGGGTCCCAAGATGGTCCTAGATTCCCATCCCCAGGTACAGCATGTAAGTATGAGAACCAGAAGACTTCAAAGTACGATGGGCATTGAGACAATGACGATATTAAGAGTCATGTTATAAACTGAATAAACTGAATACAGAAGTTTCTTTCTTGGTCTATGTCAGCTTTCTGGGTTCCTGGGACCTTTAAGGGGGAGGAAGCAGCCATAAGAATGCCTGAGATTGAGCTGGGCATTATGGCTCACCTCTATGATCCCAACACTTTAGGAGCTAAGGCAGGTGGATCATCTGAGGTCAGGAGTTCCAAATCAGCCTGGCCAACATGCTGAAACCCTGTCTCTACTAAAAGTACAAAAAATTAGCCAGGTGTGGTGGCAGGTGCCTGTAATCCCAGCTACTAGGGAGGCTGAGGCAGGAGAATTGCTGAAATCCAGGAGGAGGAGGTTGCAGTGAGCCAAGATTGCACCACTGCACTCCAGCCTGGGCAACAAGAGCAAGACTCCCTCTA